ATCATATCTAAATGTGATCGTCCATAAGCACATTAGCCCGATAGCATCAAGTGCATGTAGAAACTCTCACATCAGATGACCTTTGACCCTTTGGAGTGAGCTGATAAAACTAAGAGAAAGGGGCATTGCAAACAGAGAGGCTGAGAAAATGGACATAAAGCGTTCGTTTAGACCACAATGCATCTCAGATTTCAGCCTGTAAAGTAACGACGGCAGCAGCTGCTAGCGTTATGCCCTGACCCACATTTCAGCCTTTACATATCAAAACAGTGTTATTTAAGCAACCCCAGATATCCTGTGCCAGAGGGAGACTTTGGCAAGAGCGGCAGTGCCACTTGTAGTTCATTTGATTCTTCGTCTTGATTTGATAGAGGCTTCTGTTGAGTGAGTTTTGTGAGTTTTCGAGCTCATACGAAACATGCCAGGAGTAAACTGTTTGTTTGTTTTTTATGTCTTTGTTTGTAATGAAGCATTTATTGAAAATCCCTTGTGGATACCTGTTTGACGTGTAGCCTGAATAAAAATCCTACATACCAAGATTTCCAGAAAGTTTTTTTTCATTCATTCATTCATTCATTCATTCATTCATTCATTCATTCATTCATTCTTTTTTCTTTTTTTTTTAAATACCTAATGTAATTTTTTTTTTAAATGCATTTCCTATCAATTCATTGGTGTGAATTTGAATTGGATTAGTTTAGTTTAGTTTAGTTATTTGAAAAGGGACAGTGTACACTAAAAAATGCTGGGTTAAATACAACCCAGTGCTGGGTAAAATAGGGACAAACCCAGCAATTAGGCTGTTAAATGTTTAACCCAACCTTCTGGGTAGTAACCCAACCGCTGGGTCAAAACAGCACAATTGCTGGGTGTGTCCCTATTTTACCCAGCACTGGGTTGTATTTAACCCAGCATTTTTTTAGAGTGTACAATTTTTAACATAAATGTTTCCATTTAAAGCATTGTACCGGATTCAGCCAGCTAATTTTCATCCGCTAAACCAGATTGATCAACCGGATTGATTAAATTTATTGAATTGCCCTCAAAAAATAGATAAATTAATAAAAAATATTTATTTATTTATTACCTATATAGACAACTGTTCAGAAGTTTTGGGGTAAGTATTATTTGTATTTATTTATCTATTTATTTATTTATTTTTATTCAGCAAGGATGCATTAAATTGATCAAATGCTGTTCTTTTTGAACTTTCTATTCATCAAAGGATCCTGAAGAAAATGTATCACATTTTCCACAAAAAATATGAAGCAGCACAACTGTTTCCAACATTGATAGTAAGAAGTGTTTATTGAGCAGCAAATCAGCATATTAGAAGGATTTGACACTGAAGACTGGAGTAATGATGCTGAAAATTCTGCTTTACGTCACAGGAATAAATTACATTCTAAAATATATTCAAATAGAACACAGTTATTTAAAATGTTTACAGTATTACAGCTTTTACTGTATTTTTGATCAGATAAATGCATGAAAGTAAAAGTACTTTAAAGGTGTTCAGTCATGAATAAATTATTTCGAAAACATTTCAATAAACCTTTGATTGTTAGTATATGTTGGCGATTCAAAAAATTATATTTTGCTCTATTTGAACATTATGAAAAAATATGAGTAGTTATGCATTTCTTTCCATTTAATATTCCTCGTTCAGATTTGACATCCTGCCTGTCACCTCAGTTCATTGTGAGGAATTGAATGGCGCACACGGCTGATACATACTCAGGTCAAGTCTGTTATTTTGCTCTCCTTTTTTCCAATTGAATGAACTGCATCAGGAAACCTGCAAAGCACAAATGCATTCCTCCACCTTTGGGGTTGCCATAGCAATGATCAATGTGGGTCAGTGTGTGTGTGTGTGTGGTATTTGATTTGTTGTGTGGGAGTGTTGTCAGCCACTCTTACACATGCCCTGCAGAGAACGCTAATATGTTGGCTCGCCTGATTGGCTGCTGGTGCCAGGGGTTTTTATTAATGGCACAAGGCAGTCGGTAGGCAGAAAATTGGTTGGGCTGTTCATGTGCTCACATGCACAGACACACATATGAAAAAAATAATATATGAGCAAATTAGCTTTTAGTATCATAAGTTAAGCTTCAGATACATTGGTCATGATGCTAATTGCAATAACATTTATTTTTTTTTTAATTTGTAAACATGCAAATGTCAATATATGTGTGCATTATATATATTAAATTATTTTAATTGTATTTTTTAATTTTATTAGATCGAACAAAGGAAATTCTGTCAGATTTGTGTACTTTGGTTCTTTCGAGCCCAACAGTTGCTTACATGTCTAATTATTTTTATGTAGCATATTTATGGTATATGAAATTTAATTAAACTGTAAAACGTAGATATTGACTTGGCAGATTTCCATCATGACAGTTGTTTCCTGTGGAAAACATCTGTAGTTTAATGTCTTGCATGGCGATTAAGTGTTTCGCGAGTAGTTTGTTTTATGTGTACAGATTTAGAAACAATTTATATTTCCATTCCTCTGTCATTTTTTTCTCCCTTTGAGAATATATATATAAAAAAAAATCAATCCAGCTTGTGGTTTTTAAAGACTTTGCTGTAAGGTTCTGTACCCATTACTTCATAACCACAGTGGCCGAGCTTGTAAACGAGCTTCATGCTGTTTCCATTATTGCCAATAAGCGACACATTCAGACCTTTGAAAAGGAAAACATGACGATTCGCAGAAAGACTGAAATTAAACACTTGAGACACGCTACATGATTGAAACACTAATATAGCGGAAGCTGAAAAAAGGAGGAAAGTGGGTAAAAATCTATTGAGTGTGATTAAGACCTAAACCAGTTTATTTATGGTTGATTTCGCACTTGTAGTTTTTATTGCACTACAATTTAAAAAGAACAAAATAACAGGTTTTAAAGTAGAGAACTTTACACTGGACTGTGTCCTGTTATAATGTAATTAATGCATCCCAAATGTGTGATTAATATTTCAACATGGCAGTGTTCTCTCAAATCATTGTAACTAGCTTTGTTTATGACTGAAGTTACAGTCTGCACTTTCCATGAATAAGATAGACTTTGTCACGTTACTTTTTCTCTAGCATTAGAGACACAAAGGTCAGCTTTTTGACCCCGTTACCGAAGTTGTATCAATCATCAAAAATAATCTTATTATTATTATTACTACTATTATTATAATTATTTTTCAATTAATGGTAAAAAATATGTTTAAGTTTAATCCCACACTAGCTAATCCCTACTGAGTGACCACTGCAATCCTGTTCTATTTTATTTTATTTTATTATTTTATTTTATTTTTGTTTATTGAAAATAACAAAACAACATAAAATTATATAAAATAAAATAATTTTATAATATGTAGAATCATAACTCTCTTTAGTCAGCCCTATTTTATTTTATTTTATTTTTGTTTATTGAAAATAAAAAACAATCAAATTAAAAAAATAAAATAATTTTATAATATGTAGAATCAAAACTCTCTTTAGTCAGCCCTATTTTATTTTATTTTATTTTTGTTTATTGAAAATAAAAAACAATCAAATTAAAAAAATAAAATAATTTTATAATATGTAGAATCAAAACTCTCTTTAGTCAGCCCTATTTTATTTTATTTTTGTTTATTACAAATAAAAAAGCAATCAAATTACAAAAAATAAAATAATTTTATAATATGTAGAATCAAAACTCTCTTTAGTCAACCCTATTTTATTTTATTATATTATTTTATTTTTGTTTATTGAAAATAAAAAAACAATCAACTTAAAAAAATAAAATAATTTTATAATATGTAGAATCAAAACTCTCTTTAGTCAACCCTATTTTATTTTATTTTATTTTTGTTTATTGAAAATAAAAAAACAATCAACTTAAAAAAATAAAATAATTTTATAATATGTAGAATCAAAACTCTCTTTAGTCAACCCTATTTTATTTTATTTTATTTTTGTTTATTGAAAATAAAAAAACAATCAACTTAAAAAAATAAAATAATTTTATAATATGTAGAATCAAAACTCTCTTTAGTCAACCCTATTTTATTTTATTTTATTTTTGTTTATTGAAAATAAAAAAACAATCAAATTAAAAAAATAAAAATTTTATAATATGTAGAATCAAAACTCTCTTTAGTCACCCCTATTTTATTTTATTATATTATTTTATTTTTGTTTATTGAAAATAAAAAACAATCAAATTAAAAAAATAAAATAATTTTATAATATGTAGAATCAAAACTCTCTTTAGTCAACCCTATTTTATTTTATTTTATTTTTGTTTATTGAAAATAAAAAACAATCAAATTAAAAAAATAAAATAATTTTATAATATGTAGAATCAAAACTCTCTTTAGTCAACCCTATTTTATTTTATTTTATTTTTGTTTATTGAAAATAAAAAACAATCAAATTAAAAAAATAAAATAATTTTATAATATGTAGAATCAAAACTCTCTTTAGTCAACCCTATTTTATTTTATTTTATTTTTGTTTATTGAAAATAAAAAACAATCAAATTAAAAAAATAAAATAATTTTATAATATGTAGAATCAAAACTCTCTTTAGTCAACCCTATTTTATTTTATTTTATTTTTGTTTATTGAAAATAAAAAACAATCAAATTAAAAAAATAAAATAATTTTATAATATGTAGAATCAAAACTCTCTTTAGTCAACCCTATTTTATTTTATTTTATTTTTGTTTATTGAAAATAAAAAAAACAATCAACTTAAAAAAATAAAATAATTTTATAATATGTAGAATCAAAACTCTTTAGTCAGCCCTATTTTATTTTATTTTTGTTTATTCAAAATAAAAAAACAATCAAATTAAAAAAATAAAATAATTTTATAATATGTAGAATCATAACTCTTTTTAGTCAGCCCTACAACAAGCATCTTAGTAAAAAAAAAAAAAAAACACACCCACACACTTTTTTCATTATTATCAATCATGTAACTTTCTATAAACTTGTGACATCCTACAAGTAAACATTTTATTTTGTTTTGTTTATTATGTTTTTTGTCTGAATTCATAAGAATCATGACACTTTTGAGTCAGCCATACTACAAGCATCGCTTCGGTCTATGCTGAGCTGAAACTTTTGTTATCAATTACAGCTTGTTTGGCAGGTGTTTTGCAGTGTCATAAAGTAAACTCGATGAACTTCACGATCATCATGCTGGCAATGTTTTCCAACCAATTACAGCAAGTATGCTGTGTGACTACATAGGATCTATATTTAGACGTAAAGCAAAAGTTGTTGGCTGTTATGTTGCTCTTGCAGCGTCCCTCTTGATGATTTGTTTATGGTCTGTAAGCAGCATTCGTCTGTCATCTCCTCAGATGGAGTCATCATTCTGCTTTAGATGAGTCCTTAACAAATCTGGCAGCGGTTTGGAAGTAAACATGGTTTAAATCTGCTATTGGATCTACTGCTTAGGAGCATAAAAGCACAATATTAATGTTTTATGTAGGCTAGTTATGGTAGCTATGGTAACTCTTTGGTGTGTCAAGAACTGAGCCAGTTTTCCTTCCGACTAGTTTGACTTTGAGCAATTTGAGATTTATATCTCAAACGATTGTACGAGTTTGGTGTTCTATTAAAGCTTGTCTGTAGCCCCCTTTTGTTCTTATAATGACATGTCTGCTTCTTTTTGAAATAGAAATTCTTGAATCAATTCACTTATCTTTGCTGCTGAAATTGGATGTCTGTGATAATGGCCAGCGCAAAAACTGCTCGTCTTGGATTTTTGGGGTTTTGGCTATTTCTCTAAGGTTTTATGTTACATGTACTCTCTGTAGTTGGTCAAAAATAACTTTTTGCATGTTAATGAATGATTTAATTTAATTGACCATATTATTTGACACTAAATAGAGGCTAAAACATGGACAACATCCATGTTCAACATCATGTTTGGCATTCAAATAATGATAATGGCTATAAAATGAGCTAATATGCTTTAAAATTGTGCAATGATCTATTACCAGGGTTGAGCAAATTTAAAAATTGGCAATTTGTGAGTTGGAATTTAAATTGAATTGGACATATCCAACAGGAAGTTGAATTGTAATTTGAATATAAAATTTAAAGGAAATTAAAGTTACAAAACTACAATTCTGAGAATAATAATAATAATAATAATAATAATAATCTTTTAATTTATAAATTATAATGATTTTTTTTTTTCATTGATTTCATTTTTTTAAATTTATAATTAACTAGCCATATAGTTAATAAACAAACATGCAAAAGCATAGGTTTTTCAAATTGCAATTTTGACGACTCACCGCAGGGGCGTTCCCTCTTTTCCTCACTTTCCTTCGCTTTTAAATAGCTTGTAAAAGCGGCGTGCGTATTTTACCTTCACTTTCAAATAGCGACAATTCGAAGTAAAGGAATTGTTCGTTTTTAGTTAACGGCAAAAGTCAACAGGCTTTTCAAAATCCAAAATATTGCCAAACAGGCACTTTTGCATTTCGTTTCAAAACTAAATCTTGTCTGTCTCACCTCACCTCATTCTTCTTGTCAGTCAGCTCGACTCATTCTCCTCTGATCTGAAATCTGATCTGTGATGCGACTCGTTCGGCACGCTGCATTGAGGGCTTAACACCGGTATCACCGTCAGCACCGTCTATCGCGGCAAGCCTAATATATATATATATATATATATATTTTTTTTTTTCAATGTACACTTATTGCAGAATTTCTTTGCATTTTAGTTTTGCAGATTGCAATTTTATTTTAAGAAAATCTATTTAAAAGAAACTAAAATGCAAAGAAATCCTGCAATAAAAGTGTGATTTTACAGAGTATGTATACATACAAATACATACATGCATTTTTTCTGCAAAAATTACACTTTGATTGTAGAAATTATTTGCATCTTGGTTCCTTTTAGTTCTAATTCTTTACATTAAAATTGCAATTTGCAAAACCTCTGCTTTTGCATGTTTAATAAATGTTTTACTAATTAATAATTGTTTTCAGTAACCTATTTAGCACTTTAGCTGAGCATATCACACAATTATATGAGAGGCTGACCAATGAATCACCAAATAGGTGACTTGGTCAGCCTTCAATAAAGTGCACAGAATCTCCCACTGTCCAGTTGCGGTTCATAAGCATGCATTATGGTTTGTGATGTTTTCGTACCTTCAGGCCGTTGACTCAGGAGGAGATCGCCCAGAGAAGGGAACTGGCCAGGCAGCGGCACGCAGAGAGACAAGCTGCCAATCAGAGCGCAGAAAGCCCCGGGTCGGCTGATGCTGGAGGGACTTCAACCCCAGCAGGCCCGGCCAGAGGTGCTGTCACAGGCAAGAGTTTAACCCGTTCAATGCTGCATGCGTGACAGTGAATGAGTAAAACAGGTGTCTTTGAGCTTGTGTGTCACAGGCTATATTTCCTAAGGCAAATTCTGTACCATTAAACTATCATGATATGTCCAATTCATACTGTGACTGCTCCTGGAGACTTCTTTATTTGATATTCTTAGTATATTTATACTTTATTTTGTTCTGCAGATGCTCTGTGTGCGCAGACAGAGGCTCTTTCGGTCAAAGCTGCAGTCGAGGAGGAAAACAAAGAGCATTTTGTGGCCTTCGCACGAGTCTACAGCGGCGTCGTCAGAAAAGGCCAAAAGGTGTTTGTGCTCGGACCCAAATACGACCCGTCGCTGGCGCTCAGAGCGGTGAGCAGGCTTCTGGCTTCATAGCCGCAGACCGTTTCCTTATCCAAGAATGAATGCAATTTATAACATAATCATCACACAGTTAATAATCCTTAACCCTGCTGAACTTGAACTCGGGCAAATGAACTGCCTCGTTTGGGTTAATGTCCAATTAATTCCCTCATGTTTGAAGCTGTCTGGAGCTCATTATTACATTATTACCCAGAAACTATTAAAAGACTCATACAATTGAGACATTCATTGAAGAGTCAGAGTCAAATTTGCATAAAACTCCACCATCATTGGCCATTAAGAGCATGTCTTAATTAAGAGAGGAAGTGTCCACTTAAACAAATGTGATTCAGGGCTGAACGGCAATGATTGTGACAAATATTGAGATTGTGATTTGAATTGAAAAATTAAAAACTTTTGCATCTCTTGTTTCTGGACATTTGATATCAAATATTAAAGAGCAAAAAGGCTAATTTAATTTATGTGAAGAAATAGTTGCTCTTTTGAGTCTTTGAGTCTTCAATAATTATGTTATAATGTTATATATATTCATACACACACATACACATTATATGTCTTAATAATAATGTTACATCTCATTTACAATTTTTACATTTACTAAATTATTATTAGTAGTAAAAGTAGTATATTGGAATAAAAAAATGTGTTTTATATATAAACAAATATGTATATATTCTGATTTACAGAATATATTATAATACATAATAATAGTATTAATAATCTTATTTACAATATCTACAATTACTGCATATGACTCTTCTTTTATTAATATTAAATTGTGTATTGTAATAAAATTATTTAATTGATTTTTATTTATAAACAAGTATGTACTGTGAGAATGTAATATACAGAATATATTATAATACATCTCTGAATAATAATATTAATATAATCTTATTAATAATAATTAATAATAATAATCTAATAATTATCTTATTTACAGTTTACAATATTTGCAATTACAGCATATGATTCTTTTATTATTATTAAATTGTGTATTGTAATAAAATTATTTAATTGATTTTTATATATAAACAAGTATATACTATATGTAATATACAAAATATATTATAATACATTTCTGAATAAAAAAATAAAATAAGATAAAGATAACAACAATAATAATTATTATTATTAAATTTAGTATTGTGTATTACTTTTTTATTTACAAATCATTTAATTATTTTGAACAATTGTAAAATATAAAATAAAATATAAAAATGTAATTATAAAAAAAGAATTTTTTAAAATGTGTGTGTGTGTGTGTGTTATCATGTATGCTGTCTGGTAATATGAGTCCTAATGCTGATGTGGGATTTTTGTTGATCATTTTCACCTTTAGCTGCCTGAAGGTTGTTCAGTAGCTGATGTTTTACCCAGCATCCCTCACATGGCCTGCTGTACCGTGGACAGCCTCTACCTGCTGATGGGCCGCGAGCTGGAGGAACTGGATGAGGTTCCCTCAGGAAATGTTCTCGGTTGGTCATTTGTTTTCTACAGTGCTCCTCTCACAGGTTCCGGATGGATTTGTTTTTTGGCGTTCTGCTTTTGGATTATGGATTTTGGATGTGATCGCACTTCTTGAAGACAAAGCTCTATTTGTCGGGGTAATATTCTTGCTTGATGTATGGCTTTACAGTACATGGTTTGGCCGAAGCACAGTTATAGCAATGCCATGAAATTCTGGTGCAGTAGTGCGTTATGTGAGTGCTCAAAATAACGTCTTTTCCACATCACTGCTTATTCTGTCCAAGAATTGGCCACTTAGATAGGGAAAAACCGTTGTTGTAAATGGAGCAGCTAGAGTTTGTTTTTTTGTGCTGTTTAAGGATGGGTACATCTGGAATTGACCATGCAACAATAATAAACTAGCGTTGAAAATCTCAAATAATGGTAGAGAAAAGACCAAGAAACAGGAAGTGTGTTTAGATGTTCAGATTTTTTTAGTCCTCAGCACAGATTTTTTTCACATGTTACTGGGTCAATGTCCGTGTGGGTCCTGGAACATTATTTCTGACAACCAATCAGATTTTTAGGTTAGGTTTAGGTGTTTGGATTGGGTTAGAATATATTTTTGTTGTTGTTCCAGAACCAACAAAACATGCCTTAAGGCCCGTTCACACCAAGGACGATAACTACATGATGTATAATGCTAAAAATATAGTTTTAAATATCGTTCTAGATGTAAAAGAATAGCTCAACACAATAGCCCTTTTTTTCCAGTTGATGATTGTTCAAAACTTTGACGGGCAATCAGAATCCATCTGGCTTTCAAGAGCTTGAGCATCTAAAGCGGTAGAAGAGAATAAATAATTCTATCAGAATAAAGAGAATGTTATTGTGCATTGGCGTGGTAGTTGGTAGTTATTGTTATAGTTACCTTTATAGTTATTGTTAT